CGCACGATGTCATCAGCACCCTGCAAGGAAGAATGCCAACATTTAGTATTTTCACTCAATAAACGAAGTGAAAATAAAAGTAAAGCAAAAGGTTACCTCATCAGCAACCTTGGGAAGTTCAGACACATCACCAGTTGGCTCTACCACCTGTGGAAACTTCCCCTTATCTGGGCCAGTAGACTCTGCCACAACGGGCAGATCTACGGAAACCTCTTCAAAATTCAAGAAGCAATGAATCGAAAACCACCAGCACAAGTAAGGGTAAAAACACTAAAATATGTATTACCTTCCGATTCGACACTTAGGGGGTCAACGCTCTGGGAAGATGGTAGCTCTTCAACTGGTTGTGATGAAGACTCAAGGACTAAGGATTTCTCTTTAAGCATGGTCCCTTCATCAGCTGATTTCGACGAAACAGCTTCAGCAGGAGGCGATGAAGCAGGAGCTACTAAGACCAACGCATTGAGTCGTAGATTGGGGGTTGAAGAGCGATTTCTAATAAATCTGAAATCGTAGCACTATCAAAAATCGCCTTGGTAGGGCCATGATTTACCAGACGTGTATGCCACCTACGAAAAATAACATCAGTTTTGGGCCAAGTGCGAATACATTTTTCGCAAATCCGCCTCAGTCGCAAAAAGTTCAGAAACTGAGGGCCTTGAGTACAATGGAATAACTGACCCACCGCCGCTTGTCCAATAGCTTCAGCATCATTAAATGATGGGCCTACATAAAATTCATTGAGGTCAGCATTGGCTTGTGCTAGGAAGTTTGAACTTATATACAATCTGGTAAGGAGATTTCGGAAATCCTCGAAACTGAAAGAATCATCTGAATGAGTTTGTGAAGTCACCATTGGATGCAAAGTACAGTTTTTGTGAGATTTGCCTAAGAAACGTAGTAGAGAAGCAAGAAGATGAACAGTAAATAGTGATAGCATGGTCCCTTCATCAGCTGATTTCGACGAAACAGCTTCAGCAGGAGGCGATGAAGTAGGAGCTACTAAGACCAAAGCACTGAGTCGAAGATTGGGGGTTGAAGAGCGATTTCTAATAAATCTGAAATCGTAGCACTATCAAAAATCGCCTTGGTAGGGCCATGATTTACCAGACGTGAATGCCACCTACGAAAAATAACATCAGTTTTGGGCCAAGTGCGAATACATTTTTCGCGAATCGGCCTCAGTCGCAAAAAGTTCAGAAACTGAGGGCCTTGAGTACAATGGAATAACTGACCCACCGCCGCTTGTCCAACAGCTTCAGCATCATTAAATGATGGGCCTAGATAAAATTCATTGAGGTCAGCATTGGCTTGTGCTAGGAAGTTTGAACTTATATACAGTCTGGTAAGGAGGTTTCGGAAATCCTCGAAACTGAAAGAATCATCTGAATGAGTTTGTGAAGTCGCCATTGGATGCAAAGTACAGTTTTTGTGAGATTTGCCTAAGAAACGTAGCAGAGAAGCAAGAAGATGAACAGTAAATAGTGAGAAGGAAGCGCGAAATATAGAGACGTGGTTTAGTGGTGTGATAAAATGACATGTCTTGTGGGTTTATAGGGGTTTGTAACGTTACATATTTTCAGGCTATAGAAGGAAATAATGATTGAAATTCTTGAAAATTTCAAATATTGTCGGAAAATACAAAGAAAGAATATGGTAAAGATTAATAATTGATATTAATTCTGCCATATTTGAGGTAATTGTTGACATACAAAAAGTGTAGCCCAAATTAAATAGCCCAAAGAATGAACCCCAATTGGGAAGTCCATGATAAAGGCCCAAATACGACCATTAATGAATGCAGTGGAGGCCCAAGAGCAAAGAACATCATCGCCCAAGTTTGCAAGACGCTCAGAATCTGAGCAAATGGAGTGTCTTACGGTCGCCCAGAACGAATAAGCCCGTTCTCGCCCAAACCATCGAATCGCCCAGGATTTTAGCAAACATGAGATATTATGGTTATCCAAAACAGCAGTTATTGATGCAGTTATTGAGCAATCTTATCACACCACACGATCCAAGGATCCCAGTTGTAAGCGGTTGAACGACAAGAGTAATAGCAACAATTAGAGACAACAGTTCCACAACAAGTCAGTCATCATGAAAAAAGTGAGTAGTTATAGAGCAATCTAGCAATTTCCAAGCAGTGTGTCACGAAGAAATTATCGGGTGAGTATAAAAAGGAAGAGAAGATATAGTGAAAAGGACCCTGAATCAAACACTCTCAATAGAAAATATATAATTTCAATTTCTTAGTTTAACTTTAAAACACTTATTTTAGTACTCGTGTACTTGCGCCCCTTGGAGGCATTCTGTTTATTTCCAATTGTAAATCTTCACCAATAGAACATTTTTTGAAATTTTGTCTCAAGAAGTCTGTTCCTTAAACAATCGTCTGAACCTTTTTTTAATTGTTAGCGACAATCCGCGCGAAACATAAACAATGAAAAATAAAATTATTAAACAATAATCTTTGGCTCATTATTTGGAATTCGTCTTTTAGCAATTTTCCAATATGAAAGATGCTTTGTTAAGAAACCAAACCAATTTGGGCCCCAAAATTAATTTCCTTGCTCGGCGGTTAGACGAGTTTGAGACCTAATATGAAGTTTTTGAAAGATTTTTTGTTGCTTGTAAAGTGTTTTTCAAATTAGGTTTTTGTTTCCCCCAATATGTTTGTTACCTTCTGTTGCTATTAAATGTATTAAATAAGAAAGCTCTTCTGGCAAAAAAAAAAATAAATAACGTAACAATATGTCTGGTGGCGGGTGCAGAAGATGAAGAACGATGCTCGTTACTACACTTTGTTACTGCAATTTTCAAGTTAGCGGGTTGTCTTATATTTTGAAACTCCATTTGTTGCCTTGTCCTACTGAATATTGTCAGAATAATTTGTGACTGCATATTGTCTATAGTTTTTTTTTTTAATCGCCAAAATAATTGATAGAATGGGTAATTTTATTTCTTGGATATGGGAGATTTACTTTGGTTCAATGATTTTGATTTTTGATTGGATTAGAAGAGATTAATGTTATAGAGAGAAGGTATAGAGAGATTGTAATTTTACGGTTTCTACTTGCATTCCAGTGCATGTACATTGGCCAAACCCCGACTAAAAATATGTACCGAGTAGCCTGGACTATCTTCAAATCTGAACACTAAGCCCCTCTTTGACTACCATTATTTTGAAAACACAAAGTTTCGAATAGTAATTTTAGAAGAATGTGATTAAAAAGTAGAAAATTTTTTTGGCTTAAGTGCAGAATATTTTATTGTGTGAAAATATAAGGTTAAAAATGAGTATGTAAATAATTAAAAAAAAAGGTTCTCAAATAATTGTTGTCAAACATAAGCTGAATCGGCGAGTCCAAAAGCTTAAACCATTCAGCACGTTGAACAACTCAAATTTATTTTAAGAGATTACAATTACACAACAGTCGTAATTGTGAAAAATAAGTTCATCCCAATTGTGGTGCTACAAAATTTTGAGGTAACCAAGTCAGAAACCATTTGTCCAGCTTGCAAACTATTACAAAACTTTTTCATTTCTTAATTTCATGTGAATAAACAACAATACAAATGATAAAGCTAACCTGCTCAAGCAAACCATAACATCATAAACCAAATACTCGAAAAGGAACTCTGTAGTTTGGACAGCTCATCAAACACGAGTTGAACAACACAAATTTCAAAAGGGATAGATCATAAATAGAAAAACCAGGGCAGATAGTGCCTGCTCAGCTCAATTGTTCTATTATCTAGTCAGGTCAGGAAGGAAGCGGAATAGAGCTGTTCTAGGAAGACGCACATTTAGAAAAATGCTAAACGGATCCATGATCTCAAGATCTAAATGTGAACCTGACTAACACTGTAGCAAAGCAGAAACTAGTGATAGATGATAAGAAATCATCGCTTTCTACTCTTAGTTTTGGTAATCCTCGATTTGCTCGTTTCATCAGGGGGCTTCCAGATAATATCATCAAGGTTGTTATAGAAGTTCTTGTAAAACTACCAAAAAAAAAAAAAACGAGGTCTTGACACCTCAAACAAAGGAATGGCCAACTATTTTAACTTTTTCCAGTACACGAGAAAGGAAAAGGGTTAAAAATCAAAATGGCCACTATACTTTAAAGTGCAGTGATTTTTGGGAAACAATGTTGAAAGTTTAGCGGCCATTGAGATATTTCACCTACCAGTAAATAAGTAGTAAAGTTACTACATACTGAAGGAAGGCAACATAAAATACTAACCTTAAGATATTCATCAGCATCTCCAGCTGCTTTCTGAATGTCAACCATGATAAATGTAGGAGGAACTTGAAAAATCTGCTTAGAAATGTAAAGTTTACAAGATGCTCGTCAAAAATGATAAGATACCACTGCAAGTGGCAAATGAAATTTACCTCCAGAATTACAGAGAAATGCGAAGTCTTATTTGCAGAAAGACCTTCCACCCTCATCTAAGAAACACAGTAATTTCAAATAAATAAGAATTCATTTATTTATCAGTTGGATAACTGATAAATTCGTGCAAATGTTACATAAAGCAATAATGTGATATAATGAAATCTGTAGGCTACACATACAGTATTAACCATGTTCATCAATAATATACTTCAAACAGGTCTACCTTATAGTTACGAATGTGTGTCTTGAAGCCCATTGATTGAGCAACAACTTCCATACTCGATAAAACAACCTTTGCAGGCTTCTGTGAAACAAAACGGGTTTGGTGTTTCACTGAATCCTGGTTAAAAAGGCAATATGTTATGTATTATCTCAGTTCAAAGTGCATTATGTACTACATCGTCAAAGTAATGCTCGAAAGCACAACCAACCACAATGAAAAGAGATAGACTGCAACACTTCAATTAAACAAGAGGATCTGGAAAAATATGGAAACACAAGATCTTGGACAAGAAGCCTGGAAATGATATAGGTTGACTGTAAAAGACTGGAGAAGAGGTTGATTCATAGTTTCTTACCGGCCTGCGATCGAATATTGCTGAAAGGTTTAATCCTTGAGACAGAATAATCAAATCAAACGCATTCAGAACCAGAGGGCCCACATCCTCGTTCCCACATTGCTCATTACATAGTTCTTCCTACAACAAAAAAAGTGCAGCAGCTGTTAAGAAATAAACTGCAAAGAAAATATAACTAGGCTACATTTTGTAAGTTGAATTAGGTTGTATAAAGAATTTAATATAAAATTATTATGAATAATTTAAATAGATGGTATTATGGTGGATTAATGTGGATAGTATTCTTTTAACTTTTCATTCTAAAGATAGTTATTTACACTATCAACAGTATAACAAATTACGGGTGTTGGAGGTGGGTTTAGATGGGATAAGAAAATACAAAATAATTGACATTATTTGAATAAGAATTCTAAGAATACTATTCACCTTAATCCACTCTTCTTTCCAAATTAGATACTTACTGTAGGAAACATAACTAGGGTTTTTTAAATACAGTTTCTAGAATTTTAATAGTTGTTTACTTTCAAAACTGGATACTTATTTTAGGAAACATAAATAATTATTATTTAACAAATTATTTAATATTTTTCTACTTAAATTAGACTACTTTAATCATTATATCCTTGAATAAAGGGAGTTTATGCATTGTAATAGTTAAGACTTTCAAATTGTATAAATTTATATTTATTCTCTCTCTAAATTCTTTCTATTCTTTTCCTCTTCTACTCTTCTTGCTCTCTCTCTCCCTCTCTCTCTTCCTCTTCCTCTTTCTATCTCAATCTTGTTCTTGTTTAATTGTTTTCTACGTCAATTTGGTATCTAAGCAAGTCGAATTCCTTTGGCCAAACAAATTCACAAATTTTTAAAAAGTGTTCAAGTTCAAAAAATTAGTGCCCCCAGCATCCAACCTATAAATAAATCACATTGCATCCAACCAACCTAGCCCCCCAACCAGTCACCGCCATACTCTACATCTTCCGCTACATTCAACCGTCCAAGTCCCCCAACCGCAATGGAAAATCAGCTACACCAACAAAAAGAAAAAATCAGGAATTAATTAGCTTTAAGTGCTTGCAATTATTCAGACATTGGTTTTTTCCATTTTATTCTTGGTCAGATATCAATTTTGTTCTACTAGAGCCTTAACCTTCATTTAAGTGCTTGGCCTCTTATTTAAAAATAAATAAATAATAGAGAAAGAAACAAACGAACAAAAACTGTGTTACTTTTTAGTAACTTTTCTCTTTTAAAAAAAAAAAAAAACTACAAAAAAAAAATTGTTGCTAAAAGTATAGTCTAGTTGTTTTTCTGGTTTTAGTATTTTTAAGCCAAAATATTTATATAGAAAAAGCAACAAATCACTTTGACATAAGTTTAGTCTCCAAAATGCGGTGACATATACTTATAAAAAGTTAGGAAAACAATTAATGACAACTGGAAAACAGATTCTTCGACATTCACTTGAGACCTCGTGCATTTACTTGAACAAATTGAAGATTTGCTCTCACAAGTGGGCCAATCACCTACTGTTTCCATTCTCTCCACTAATAATTATTGGTCACGGATGAGCTATTAAAGAATATACATGTTACTATACAAGTGGCATTTGCTTCTTCCCCAAGGGAAATATTTTGAATTATTGCACCCAATGCCCCATATAGTGATGAGAAAATGAAGGATGTCTTTCCATTAATTGTATCATCATTTGCATTTCTCTTGGACAAATTCACCAAATTGTATGCTAAGAGAGCTAGGATACATACTTAAACTATGGCTAATGTAAGATACTGTGTCATCATGTTGGATCTAAAATGTGAACAACTGATAATTAACATGTTCCAACATTTTCTTTTAGCACGAAGAGAAAATCATCTAGAAAATGTCTGCACATCCATGGAGATAATAATGGATCTTGTATTGGGAAAAAAATGACAATCTCTCTTTAGAATTGCTTACCCTCCTTTTGGATAGTGTGAAAAAGAAAAATAATGAGGTTTCTCCTTTTGCAATGAATTTGGTAGAATGACTTTTTGAGAAGTGTGTTGTTAAGATCAAAGCTTACTTGACTCAAAATTATAACATCTCTAAGGTTTGCTACGATTATTATATTACGGTTGTCTCCTCCCTTTGCAAAGGGACTAATAATATTATTGATTGGAGTAATCACATCACGTTTGGAGACAAATTGGTTGCTGAGGATGAGATTTTTTTGAGTGTTGTATGGTGTCCCTTTCATAATCACACCTGTATTGGTCTAATTCACACTAACATAGTTGGGAAATTAAATACATAGTTGCAAGGGCTCGCTTAAGGTGAGAAAAAGAGAGAATGCTTTTGGAACATGAAATTGATCAAGAAGTTAGTCAACTTTAGAATGAAAGATTTTCCTTTCATTAAAAGGAAAGCCTTCTAGTGTACTAAGTTTGATGTGGTGATGTCCGAATCTTCACCTATTTGTATCTATTTAGTGATCAATTCGCTAGTTTCATAGATCCCACTCAGTTATCCTTTTCTATGTTCTTCCAATGGTCAAATAAAGATGGATAGTAAGGACTGCGTAATATAAATTTTTTAGCCTCGTCATCTAAAGCTGCTTCCAATTGCTAGATTCCTCGCACGTTTAGTCAAAGTCAATCTTGTTTTTACCACGAGTATTTTCCAGAAGAAATAAGATCGAAATTGAAATAGCGAGATCATCTAAAGCATGAATATAATCGCCTTTGTTTTGAAGGCACAAGAAGTTCAAAAAAGTAATAGAATAAGATGCGAGATAGCCATACCTTTACAAGAAGGCTTTGAATGAGGATTTCATCTTACGAGGAATAGATTGAAACAACAAAAGGAAACCAAGACTTATAACTACCGAGCACATTGATTGGGATACATCAACTAAAGTGGCTCCAAACAATAAATAAAGTTGTAATACCTAGACCAGAAAAGTTTAAAAGATTTGATAGGTACTACTCATACCAAGAAGGTGCACCTTCTTTTCTAGAAGTCTATCATTAGAAACTCTACAGTTAAGCGTGCTTGACTTGGAGCAATTGTATGATGGGTGACCCCTGAGAAGTTTTCTCGGGGAGCATGCGAGTGAGGACAAAGCATGCTGAAAAAACCCATGTTGGTACAGTGGGGACAGTACGTCGTCGATCTAACGACCGGGACAGCCCGTTAAGTGGGACCCGAGTCGTTACAAATGGTATCAGAGCCCGGTTGCCAGCCAGAAATCGGGAACTAAGTGCTGTGCGGGACAAAGTGCTATGCCATAAGGCGAGAGCCACCTCTTGAACCCGTAGGGGCCACCTCTAGAATCCCAACGCCTGGCAACGGATCCTCAGATGTATCAAGCGCGACGAGGACGTCGCGAGTCTAACGAGGGGTGATTGTAATACCCAGACTAGGAAAGTTTAAAAGATTTGATAGGTACTACTCATACCAACAAGATGCACCTTCTTTTCCGGAAGTCTATCGTTAGAAGCTCTACAGTTAAGCGTGCTTGGCTTGGAGCAATTCTATGATGAGTGACCCCCTGGGAAGTTTTCTCGGGGAGCGTGCGAGTGAGGACAAAGCATGCTGAAAGGACCCATGTTGGTACAGTGGGGACAGTACGTCGTCGATCTAACAGTCGGGACAGCCCGTTAAGTGGGACCCGGGTCGTTACAGAAGTAGTATTGATTGGGACACATCAACGAAAATGGCTCCGACCAATAGTTAAGTAATAGTTACCTCGTATTATAGAAGAATATGCATATGGTGAAACTTAAGTTGCTTCACTTTATAACCGAGAGTTATCACTGGTTGACTTTCCATATGTCCACGACTTCATGTAGAAATTGTTACTCATTTGCGTGACTTTAACATTGACTTTGTTATAGCATTACCTCAACTGGATGATACTCTCTCGGTTGTCACAATATTATGTAAGGAAATTGTTTGCTTGTATATTTTTCCTATCACTTTTTCGATTGTTGCCTACTAATTATTGTCATATTATTTTAGCTCCAAACTCTATTGTTCGTATTCTTAATTTTCATGTCGAGATTAAATGACAAATTATTTTGCATCATAAAACTTTTGAGCTTGCTTTTTGATGCACAACATAGGCTTGAATGCTTTAACTGTGATTTTAAGCTTTGTTACGTGTTTCTTCGACATGATTTCCTAAACACATTAAGAAGTTTTGAAATTCTCACATGAAAATAATTTATTTGCCTGGTCATCACACGTGAATGAAAATTATGTTTTCAATATATCATAATTGTTTTCATATTGGGGCACATTCAAGCTATCAATGTTGCAATCATTTATTTATGCAGACCAATCTATTACACTAGTCCCTTTTGCTCCTGATTATCTGAAGCTAATTGATCTTTTGTGGATAAATTGCAACATATGCTACTTTTAGAAGTTTACTATCGGTATTTGGTTAATAAAAAAGATGGTTCCCTTGATATAAGTTAAGCCGTATGTTGTTGTGAAGAGTTTAGACTCGTACTTGGTCAGGATATAAGATCGACCTCTTTAAAGAAAGAAATTGCAGTATATCTCATCGAAGTCGATCCCTATCAGCCGAGGAGAAATGATGAAAATCCTAGTAGAGATATTTAGTTTGCTTTCTAAATTAGTTACTTATTTTAAGAAACGTAATTAGAATTTTATTTAATAGATTTTTTAATATTTTATTAATTGTTTACTTTTCAAATTAGAAACTTATTTTAGAAACAATAATTAGGATGTTATTTAATAGATTTTCAAGTATTTTCATACTCAAATTAAACTATTTTAATCCCTCTATAAAGTGGACTTGTGCATTGACTTTGATATTAAATAAATAAATATTTTCTCCCTCTAAATTCTCTATTCTCTTCCTCTCTCTTTCTCTTTGTTTCTCAATCTCGTTCTTGAGCAATTGTGTTTTACGTCACAAACGTAATAGTAGTGTTCACATGGAGTAGGACCTCCCGAAATATTAGTAAAGGACCATAGTGCATATCAGAAGCTATAATCTCGAAACTTTATCCAACAACGCATGCATTCATAGAGAATGTTGACTCCAATACATGCTTTATTTACAAGAAACAACGGAAGAATTACATCCCGAGAAGGGATGTGTCCAAGCA